AGGAGCAAGTGTAGCATGGCAAGGGATAGAGTGGGGGTGCTGGGTTGTCTCTCTTGCAGTAGTTACCTTTGTTTTTCTGTGATACCTCTTAAAAACTGTATCAGAACTGTATAAAACCCAGTGCTGCCATTTCACTGGTTGCACCTCTACTGTCTTGCAGGTGTACTTGCACCTCAAAAGTCTCCTGAGGCTTGACATCACTATCCCATAGCTAGAAGGTAGAACTGTCAATAAGAAGGTACATAAATTTGCATAGTGACTTTGATCTGCAAAGGACTGAGTCTGCATTCTGAGGAAGCTGTGATCATATTGACCAATGGAGAACTATCTCTAGTTTTGAAACATTGGAATGCTAAATGATACTCATGCTGGCATCTCTAGCCTTTTTGGAAATCTAGTTTGGACATCACAGTGGACTCCCCTCCCCTTCCAAAGTATTTTTTTATTTGCAACATTTATTTGCTATTCCTATTTTGAAATGTAGCTAAGAATTTAGGTTTTATTTCCTTCTGAAAGCTTTTATTTGCTATTGAGTGCTTCTGTTAATTTTCCTCTTGTTTTTCTCCTATTGTGTCTGTTCTTGTCTTTGGTAAGGTAGGAGTAGGCATAAGTCCCAGTTCACCCAAATTCAGCAAAGAGTGCTGAATTTGTTCAGGGGTCAGGGACTTGCTGCTGACTGCTGCAGCTTTGCCATAGCCAGGACACTTGCAGTCACCTGGACACTGGTGGGTGAGTTTTAGGAGTTTATAGGTCAGTTCCAGGTAGGAATTACATCAGGCAGTCATGTACACACGTTGGCTGCTATGGCCTCGTGTTAGTGATAAGGTAATATAAAGTCTCAAATCATGAAAACAGTAGTCTGAAAGGTTTTAAGAAGTGGGTCCAGCTGGAATAATATCTGTTCCATGTACTCCATTTAAAGGTGTTGCTTAATGAGTTACAGTTTTGATTTTGCTGTTCCTCCAGTATTTCCTAATGAGACTTTTCCATCTTCTTCCCTAATGTAGGTTCATGGCGACGCTGCTTTCTCTGGGCAAGGGATTGTTCCTGAAACACTGACCCTCTCTAATCTACCACATTTCAGAGTTGGTGGGAGCATCCACTTGATTGTTAATAACCAGCTGGGCTATACCACTCCTCCAGAGCGAGGAAGGTCGTCCCTGTACTGCAGTGACATTGGTATGTGGAGCTGAATCAGGAGGAGAATTGTCTGTTGTGTCAGAAAGGATTTTTAACTTCAGTCTGGATATGTGCTGTGCTGTGGGCTTTTTATAGCAAGTCCCTATCAGCTCTGGGGAGTTGTGCTAATATAGCTCCAGTTTCATGATAGAGTAGAAATTAAAATTATTATCGATTATTTCCTCCTACTGGCAACAATTCAGATGCTAAAAATATGCCCTCCCCCGTCTGCCTTATGGCAAAGACTAAACACCAAGGGAAAACCTGATCACATTTTCACGGGATGTTATGAAATATTTGCAAGATTACTGTGAAGTCTCTGTGACTCGTTTAATTTCTGTCATGTCATTGACAGCTTTCAAAAAAGTGTTGCGATGGAGTGTGTAACATGTATTTTAAATACATCTTGTTAAACTTCATCAAAATCATCCCAGTGTGTTTTCTGAGCAAGATTTATAGGGCAGATACTCCTTCATTTTTCTGTTGTGTTTGTTGTCAGGTGAGCTTGTTGAGCTTTTAATGGAAAGATGAGGCTCAAGACCTTTCCAAGCTTAAACTAGAAGTCTTTTGTTTTGGACTGATCTTTCTTAGTGATAAACAGATGTATTATCACTAGGATTAGAGACTCAGTAGTAAGTTCTCTTGTGTATGTCACTTATAACTAAAAATATACTTTTCTATGTTTTTAAGACTTAACATTAAGTATTTGTGTTTGTTTTATGGTTTCATCAAACCAAACAGGTAGATTCATTAATCTGGTAAGGTAGATAGCATATGTTATTACTACTTTTCCCTGGGCTGGTTTTGTGTTATGGTTGTTTTTGTTTGTTGTTGGTTTTTTTCCTCCATCCTCAATTTTCCTTTCTTCTTACCTGTCAGTGAGGAGGGAGGATGTTACCATTTGACTTTCAGGATTTTGCTAAGGAGGGAAACTTGACACAGGTCAGGAATGGCTGAAATATCCTTACTTCCCAGAATTTGGACAGATAAAGTACAGGGGGAGCACTGTTGCTGGGAGGATTTGCAGCCAAATTGTCATACAGGGGAGGGTGTTGATACATTTGAATTTTGCAGTGTTTTCTTTAATGAAGAAACCTCTCTGGAACAGGGGACAAGGGAGAAGGTTGTTTCTGGCCTGTATGAAATCATAGCTAAGTGATAGCTTAGGATAAGAAGGAAATAAAATTTAATTTTTTGTTTGAAAGAGGAGCGATCAAATAATTCTCTCCCATTCCCTGCAGACTTCCAGATCAATAACATGCAGGAAATGTGTATAGAAAGACCTCTGGGAATTTAGTGCTTGTAAAGAAGTTGTGCTCAAACTGTCACAAATTCAAGAGGTTGGGCTAATTGTACTGTCTCTCAGGGAAGACTCCTCTCCTTGCCCCAGCTCCCATCACAAAGAGCATCTGTCGTTCATTTGTTGTTACATTCACTTCGCATGAGTTGTCTGTAATTTCAGCAGAGCAGGTGTCTGTTTTCTCTGGAAGGGGTTTCATGTGATTACTGTTATATTCCAAATCCCTGGGCAGGTAAGATCATTGGGTGTGCAGTTATCCACGTGAATGGGGATGATCCCGAAGAAGTTGTCCGTGCCACACGCCTGGCCGTCGAGTACCAGCGCCAGTTCCGCAGGGACGTCATCGTAGATTTGCTGTGCTACAGGCAGTGGGGCCACAACGAGCTGGATGAGCCCTTCTTCACCAACCCCTGCATGTACAAAATCATCAGGTAAGGCAGGGTTCCACCACCTCATGGGGAACCCGAAATGTGCTTGGGTCTACACCAACTCAGTATTGCTGCTGCAGCAGAAGTTTCTGTGTAATTAAGATCCTCCACCATATGGACAGGTCTTCATGTAAGTGCAGCTACACTGTCAGCAGCCCTTGACTGAGGTGTGACTCTGATAATGAGATGTTAATGAGGGTAATCACTAGTGTTGGCTCTTAAATATGCAGTTTGATGCCTCTTGGAGCGCACAGCTCTTGGATTTCAAATTCGTGACCATTAGTAATCAGGAGGCAAAGTTGTCTTCTGGGTGCCAAGGGGAAGCGTGGATAATGTGGGAGAATGGGCAGGAAGCCAGTGTGATGTTTGTCTTGTCTTTGCCTGGTCCTGCTCATCTTCATGAGCATTTGAATGTATTCAGATCCCATCCTTATCCCCAAAGCAAAATACACAAAAATTTAGTGGCCTGTGAATTCCAGTGTTTTAGGTAAAGCATTTATAGAATGGATGGCTTGATTCTCATCTAATGCTGAAGTCCTAGTGTGAATTTCTCTGAAGAAAATGTGCATGGTAAAACAGAAGGGTTTTGGACTCATTTTTACCTGTAACTGCCAACTCTAGGCACCTTTTTTTTTTAAATAAAAGACTGTAAAATACATATCCAAGAGAACTGTTATCTTTCTGAAAATCCCAGGAAAGCAGACTTGATGCAAATGACTGTAATACACCAGGACACCATTTATTTTAGTTTTCCACAGTACCTGGCTGTAGTAAGGTGGTATTTTCTTGTTCTATGACAGTGTTTTCAGATTTCATCTCTATGGGGTTTGATTCCCTCCCTGACAGATCCCGTAAGAGTATCCCAGACACGTATGCAGAGCACCTGACAGCTGCTGGGCTCATGGCTGAGGCTGAAGTGTCCGAGATAAAGACGATGTACTATTCCAAACTCAACGACCACCTTGCCAACATGACGTCGTACAGCCCACCCGCCACCAACCTGCAGGCTCACTGGAAAGGCTTCGTGGAGCCTTCTGCTAAAATCACCACCTGGGACACCGGGATGCCTGTGCCACTGCTGCAGTTCATTGGAGCCAAGTCTGTGGAGGTGCCCGAAGAGCTCCGGATGCACAGCCACCTCCTGAAGACCTACGCGCAGGTCAGTGGAGGGTGGTGATGTTTCTGGTCCCGTTGCTCAGAGGTACGACCTGTTACAGGAAAAATCCAAACACAGTAAGACTGCCAGTTAGAGAGTAGCATAGTATTCTCTAGGAAAAAAAAACAGCTCACTGTTTCAAAGTTCAGATTATGCCATTTTTTCTCCAGGTTTGAAGAAAGACGTGTCTTCTCCCCCCAGATCTGACCGTATACATTATTTTGTTATTTCAACAATGTTTTGTTGCAATGAAGAAAAAAACTTATAGAAAACATAGAAAATATTATTCTTACAACTAATAGAAACTGGTATGATAAATGACTAACATTTATATACTTTATGATTAGAATCAGTATTTTGTGAGAGAATGAGTCAGGAACCTGGTAATCATGTACACAGTTTCCACAGCCAGTAGTGAGTGTTTTATGGTTTATACATGTAAACATCAGACAACACGTGGCCAAGTTTGACAGCCAGGGTTTGATAGCTCCTAAGTTTGTGTTTGGTTTGGCTTGGTTTGGGGTTGTGAATGTTTCCCTCTGATGAATGATGAGCATGTGCAGGTGTCTGGTTGGCAGCTGTAGAGAGGCTGTGAGTTGATTATTTCAGAAGGCTGATGTTCTTGTCTTCCCAGCCCAAGGCAAGAACTTCACAGCTGGGTGTGATCATTTGTCTGCAGTTCTGCAGGGCAGAACAGGGACGAGTTCTGGAGACTGAAATACTTACACCTGGCATCTTTCATTATTGCTAACCAGACAGACCCAAAATTCTGTCAAGACTACACTCTCTGCTGTGATTTTTAATATTTCCAGACTAAGATTAATTTGTCAGTCCAGTTTGTTGACTGGTAGGTGAACACGTGGATCATCCATGGTTCTGTGGCCCTCAGGCAAACTTCAGGATGTGCTTAAATAAGACTGTGTATTCCAGTCCAACCTAAGCTGGCTGCAGGAATGTAGCATTTCTCTCCATAGTGTTTTATTTTTTTCCTAGCTTCTGTTATTGGTCTGTGCCACCAAAAGAGCTACAGATGGAAAAAAGCAAAATAGTAACTTTTCCTTGTTCTTTACTTGTTTAGTCAAGGGTTCAAAAAATGGAGGAAGGAAAAAAGCTGGACTGGGCAACAGCTGAAACTTTAGCATTTGGTTCTCTGCTGAGCCAAGGTAAGAGGCGACAGCAGACAATAAAATACTTTTGCTTTAATGTCAATAAAGGATAACATTAGACTTGTTAGGTGTTTCTAAGTAAAAAGATTGATATGATGTATAAATTTGATAATTTGCAAGAGAAGGTAAATGTGAATCCTATATGTCACTAATATTTGTAGATTAAGTTCTAAATGTCTTCAAAGAATTGTTGCTCCCTATCACTCCCCAAAAATATTTGTGCACAGAGCTAAGCATGTGAGCAATGCCCCTGAAATCAGTGGGGCTCCCACGTGCACTGTTTTATGCTACTATTTCTTTTCCCTCCTCTCGTGCCTGAATTCATTACCTCCATTTACCTGTGATGCAGAATGCATGTTTTTTGCAGTTTGCTTCAGTAAATTGAACCATGTACCCCAAAATGATTCTTGGCTGCAGGGAGGAGAGAAGAGAAATGTCAGAGCATCTCTGTCCTTGTGAGTTGGAGCAGCTGCGGGTTAAGAATTTAATCTCAGATTTGATGTTGCTAATGAGAGAAATCCAAGAAGAGACAGAACAAGAGATGTAATATTTTGGACACAGAGAGTTGTTGTCCCACATGTTTCCTTTTTACATGACTTGCTAATTCAGTGTTTTGTTTATTGCTTGGCAAGGGTTTAATATCAGACTAAGTGGACAAGATGTTGGCAGAGGAACCTTCAGCCAACGACACGCGATGTTGGTTTGCCAAGAGACAGATGATACCTACATTCCTCTGAATCACATGTCCCCAGACCAGAAAGGTTTCCTAGAGGTGGGTTCTGTGGTCCACAAGACCACCTTCTTCCTGTTATGCTGAAACAATGCATGTTTTAAGGCTGCTGGGATACAAGTAGGTAGCCTGTATGTTCTGGCAAACACCAGATGCAGGGAGATGAGAACTGTCAGGGCACTCCTGTTCTTTGTAGTTACAAACAACAACTTTAACAAGGGGTTTTGCTTTTCTTTGAGAGATCAGGTATTATTCTTTTCCCCTCAGTTCAGCCAAAAGCAAAACAGAGGTGACCATCAGTTGCCTTTAGCAGTGCATGTCCTCAGTGTGCCCCGCACTGATGTGTCTGGTTCTGAGGGTTCTTAACCCTGGGTTGTCTTCTTCCTTGCCTACCCCTCCCAACAATTTCCTTTTGTTAGGTGAGTAACAGTCCCTTATCTGAAGAAGCTGTGCTTGGTTTTGAATATGGAATGAGCATTGAGAGCCCCAAGTTACTGCCAATTTGGGAAGCTCAGTTTGGAGACTTCTTTAATGGAGCCCAGATAATATTTGACACTTTCATCTCTGGAGGTGAGTGTACGAGGAGATAATATATGTAAAAATGAATCATTTGTACTATGCACATTTTTAGAAAATCCAGCATGCCAGCAGCATGTTTCAGGCTTGTATTTAATGATGTGAAAATCAGCTGTTCTTTTTTGCTGAGTAGTTTCTGCAAAGTAATATGTTCTGTGGAAATCATTCTTCCCTTCCTCCTCATTCTGTGTTTCCAGGTGAGGCCAAATGGCTTCTGCAGAGTGGGATAGTAATTCTTCTTCCCCATGGCTATGATGGTGCAGGCCCTGAGCACTCGTCCTGCAGGATGGAACGGTTCTTGCAGGTACCCAGCACCCCTATTGGGGTCACATGTCCCCAGCACAGCACTGGCAGTCAGTGCTCTGGGAGTTGTGCTGCAGAAATGCAAAGTGGGGATTCCTGGTGTACCTGCTCTGGTGCAAGACTGTGGTGGAACCTTGTGATAAGTGCTTGTGGTTCCTGTTGCATCTGTCCTTTAGACACAGATCATACAAACAGAAGGCTGCACACTATTAAATAACAGTGAATCTGTGGCACATTTAAAAAAAACCCCCACCTTAAAATTCATTGTTGTGCCCTTGTGACTGTAGTAAGTAAATGAAAGCTGTTTCATCTAAGTAAAGAAAGGGGCTTGGAGCATTCTAGAGAGATGCTGCCGCTCTCATGAAGAAGTCGTGACCTGTTAAAAAATCTGTCATGCCCTGGTTGCAGTGTGCTGGAAGGAGGCATTTAGATGTAATCTTACCAGTTGAATGCTAAAGCCATTTCTTCTCTGAAGTTCTTCCCTTGTAATCATCTGAATTGGGATATTTGTTCACCTCTTCCTATACAGGTCGGTGTGTCTTGTGTGCCTGGGTTTTTTCTTGCATATTTGTCTCACTGCTTTCTTTGGCATTGCTGTGTCCCCCCCATACAGATGTGTGACAGCTCAGAGGAGGGAGTTGATGGGGACCAGGTCAACATGTCAGTTGTCCATCCCACCACCCCAGCACAGTATTTCCATTTACTCCGGAGGCAAATGGTCCGAAACTTCAGGAAACCTCTCATTGTTGCATCTCCCAAAGTGTTACTCAGGCTCCCAGTAAGCTGAAAAATACCTTTTCTGGTTTTTTGGGTTTTTTGATCCTCTTCTTCCTACTCTTTTGTGTTCTCTTCCCCTTTCTTTTTGTTGTTTTTCTGTGTTCTTTGATCTCTGCTTTAGGGTCAAATCAGTGGGATTTTTCCTGTTTGGGACTGAATGGATTGAGGGTTAAAGCTGAGTGGAGGTGAGCTAGAAGTAGGGTTGATTCTAGGTCTGACAGTGTTCTTGGGAAGCTTATCATTCCACATTTCATTGGGATTGGGAATGGGAATAGGAGGGGGAGGGAAGGCTATATTTTGTACTTACCAAAACCCTGTCTCAGTATTCTTTCTGACTCTGGCCTAAGGGAGAGGTAGCAAGACTTGGTAACTTCCAACTCTCTCCCATGCAGGCTGCTGTATCAAGTTTTGAAGAAATGGCCCCAGGGACAACATTCAAGCCTGTCATTGGTGACTCCTCGGTAGATCCTAAAAGGTAGCTTTACTTGCTTAGGGGAGAAGCTCTGAAGGGATATCCTGTCCCTTTCTCCTACCTAACACCTCAAATTTGAAGTGGTAGGAAAGAGGTGACTTTGGGGGACAAATGCTGTTTTGTGGGTGGTGGGTGGTGGCTTAGTTTTACTTGTTCCTCTCCTTTTCTTCTGGTGATTGTTGGTAGTTACCAGGTAGTTACCTGTCTGCAAAACAGTGAGGTGTTCAGGCAGGTGGCCCTTGCCCCCACAGGGAGGTTGAATCTGTAGTTACTGACCTCATGGGCACTATTCTGCACCATGTTCCTTGGCTGACAGTCACTGGGAGCAGCTGTTACCCGAATCGTAGATTCATTTAGGCTGGAAAAGACCCCCAAGATCATCAAGTCCAAACTTTAACCCAGCATTGCCAAGTCCATGACTAAACCATGTCCCCAAGTGTCACGTTTAGACTTTTAAATACCTCCAGGGATGGTCATTCCACCACTTCCCTGGGCAGCCTGTTCCTGTGCTTGACCCTTTCAGTGATGTTTTTCCTAATATCAATCTAAACCTGCCCTGATGCAACTTGAGGCCATTTCCTCCTGTCCTGTTGTGTGTTGCTTGGCAGAAGTAATTCCCACCTGTCTACAACCTCCTTCTAGGTAGCTGTAGAGAGTGAGAAGGTTGAAGGGGAGTGGGAGGCAATGGAAGGCAAAAAAAGAGAAATGAATGGTCTAGGGAAGCAATTCAGCTTCATAAAGTTGTCTTTGAAGTTTGGCTGGTTGTATTTGTTGGAAGTGTGAAGCTGTTCTGCATCGAGTTTCTGTAAAACCCTTAACTTGGAAACATTTTTGTTTTTCTTCAGTGTCACCCAAGTGGTGCTGTGTTCTGGAAAGCATTACTATGCTCTGGTGAAGCAAAGAGAGACACTGGGAGAGAAGCAGCACAACACAGCTATTCTGAGACTTGAGGAGCTCTGTCCTTTCCCCCTGGAGGCTCTACAGCAAGAGTTGAGCAAATACAGCCAAGCAAAAGGTCAGCCAGACTTTTACCTTTGTGTTTCTGGTGTCTTTGAAGTACTGAACTGAATCTGTTGCCTGCCTTTTAGGATAAAGAGCTGTAATGGCTTTTTCCACTTTGCTCTTCCCCTCGTACATCCAAGTGTTTCTGGAGTGGGATAGTGCAAATGTTTGTCTTGTGCTAAAAGAACTTGTCTCTTTGCTATTGTCTCTCTGCTTCCAAAAAGTAGGACTGAAAATCAGAGTGAGCCATTTGGGATGTTTTTTTGCATTGGTCTTTGCAGTTCAGTCCTTTAAGTAGCTTTTGAAAACAGCACTAGAAAAACTGAATATACACACTATGTACCCCTGTGGTGGACACACTTTGGGTTTGAATTCAGCAAGCTGGGACCTGCAAGGGAATTCAATCTAGCAAGCCTTCATTTTAGAGGTAGTGCCAAGGCAAAAAAGGTAGAGGTGCTAATAAAAGAAAAAATTGCCCTCCTTGAGCTGCTGAAAAGATAAATATGTGCATTTGTAATGTACCCTTCTCCTTCCTTTAGACTTCATCTGGAGTCAGGAAGAACCACAGAACATGGGGCCATGGTCCTTTGTGTCACCACGGTTTGAAAAGCAGCTGGGGCTTAAGGTAAGATAAGATGTCCACAAGTGTTATGAAGTTCAAAGTTCTCCTTAAATGCAAAATTCTGTGGTGCTTAGACAAAACCCTAATCCTGATGCCTAAACCAAACACGTTCTAATTTAAGCTGCTTCTGCTCTTTATAGCACCACTGGTGATGGGCAAGACTGGAGCCTTATTTTACTCTGTGTTCAATCAAAGTAGATAGGATAATGAAAGATCCCAGGTAGGAAACAGCATGCTTGGAGTAGGAGAAGAATCCAAAGCTGCCATTTGCTCTGGCATATCATGCACTATAATGTCCTTTGAGCCACAGTCTGTGGGACATGGAGGACAACTTCCTGCATTACTTCCAGCTGGTGATATCTGCCAGCAGATATCCCCATGGCACCAGGACCTCAAGATACAACCCTGTTCCTGTGCTTCACTGATCATTTCCTCCCAACTCCAATTTCAGCTCCGCCTTGTGAGCAGACCTCCCCTCCCAGCCCCAGCTGTTGGCATTGGAACCCTCCACAACCAGCAGCAGGAAGACGTTCTGAGGAAGACATTTGTCTAATTTTTCAACAGACAGACTGCTCCTGCTGCCAGTCGTGTTTGGTGCCTCCTCCTGTGAAGAAGAACAAAGGCCAGATCCTTAAGACTCTTGGTTCTCCAAAATGGAAACCAAAAAAAGGGTGGAATGAGTTTGGTAATGATGAAGAAATTTTTTCATGTAGGGGAAAACCTAATGATGAGAAAGGATGCCTGTTACTCTTGATACTTCTGGTTCTCTTGTAGTATTTTCTACAAAACGTCTTTTTAAGGTTAAAACCAAAATCCAGTCTAGGGGACAGATTGGTGAGGTGACTATATAATGCCTTATATCACACTGCTTATCTGCACTTTACAGTTCCTGGGGTGGTGCATGTGTGGAAACAGGCTCTGTTTCTTCTGTTTCCACATAAGTGTTAGTGCTGTTTGGTCAAATAAATGCTTCCCCATGCCTGGGAATGAGCCATTTCTGTAGCAGAGTGTTGTGAACTTTCCCTTTTTTCTTTTCCTGTGGGCCAGGAATGAAATCTGTTGTGGCTGTTGGTGCTCTTATCAGTGCCTGAGTTGTTAAAGCAGGATTCTGGGGGGAAACCTTGCAGGATGGCTCCTGAAGGCTTCAGGGACCACTGTTTTTCTCATCTGGAGGGTGAGAAACCCTGAGGGAAGATTTCAGCATAGCTGTCATCTGGGGAAAGGAAAGAAACCAGTCTTAATTGAGAGTAAGCAGGGGAATAATGAAGCTGGATGGAAGAGAGAAGTAAAAGCTGGCCAGGCAGACCCCAGTGTTGACTGCCCCACAGCAGCATTCCCATCCAAACAGGATTTTTCCCAGCAGGTTTTTTTTTTTTTTCAGGTTTCAGTGTAAAGTTGGCATCTCCCTGCTCCTCTCCAGGTTACCTGGGGGAGCGTGGTTGAGTAATCCAAACTCATTGTGAGCCAAAGACTTCTCTGGAAAGAAGCAAATGGGGTTTAACCAGCACTTCCAAACAGAAAGTCATGGCAGGTGAGGAAGGGCAGATCTCAGGCAGGGTGTGCATTCAGCTGGGGAGGTAGCTCCCAAAATCATCTCTGAAGCCTGCTTTGCTGTTTCGTTCTAGTTAATTCACACATTCACTCATTAACTCCATATGACCCAGAAATAACCTCTGTAGTCCCTCTTCTGTGGTGTTTCACGTCACTGCTTTAGCACATCCATCCCTGTGATGTGAAATCATGTTTCTCCCACTTTGCTCTAGCAAACTTCACAACTTCTTACTCATCCTGAACAGCTTTATCTAATCAAGGCATATTCTGGTTTAAATTTCTGCTGATAAGTAGAAAAAGGAGGCTGAAGAGAAACACTGCTTTGGCTGCAGCTGTAGCCGAGGAAGTTGTAGAGCACAATCACCAGCCTTGACTGGTGATTACATAAACCCACATTTTTTTTTCACTATGACAGGGCACACAAGGGAAGAACAGACCCTGTGTTTTGAGTTTCACGTGGCCTAGACCTGACCTTGCTGTGCACCACAGGCTGTGCAGGTCAGGTTAGCCAACCAAGCAAAGGATGCTCGGGTGCTCCAAGCCTGTTTGATGCTCCTGGTGGGAGACACAGCTATTTCTGCAGAGCTGCTCAGCTCAATGCCCCCTGCTCAGCCTTGGTGTGCCATGGAGCTCCCCAGGGATACTGGGGTGGGAAGGGAGAGCTCTCCTCGGAATTGCTGACGCAGACTGCCTGCAGAACACTGCTCTTCCATGATGGCTAACAGCTCCCAGGAGCAACACAAAGCACTTGCTGACTTAGGGGCTTACACTGTTTCTCCCATCGGTTTTGGATGCACACAAGGCTGTTTTCCATCTGTGCACCATGCTCTGCTCTGCAGGTAGGCGTGGCTCTGCCTGCACGGGGCTGGAGTGCTTTCGCCAAAAAGCATTTGGGAAAAGAAGCAGAAATTAGAATCACAGAGTCGTAGAATATTCTGAGTTGGAAGGGACCCACACAGATCACTGAGTCCCACTCCTGGCCCTGCACAGGACAACTCCAATACCACAGCATGTGCCTGAAAGCATCCAAATGCTTCTTGAACTCTGTCAGGCTTGGGGCTGTGACCACTTCCCTGGGGAGCCTGTTCCAGTGCCCAGCCACCGTTTGGTTGGAGAACCTTTTCCTTACAAAAGCCCCAGGGGTGAGCACTGCTTGACAGTGGGAGCAAGTTTGCTGAGTGTGCAGGAAACAACTCAGGGAAGTGCCAGATGCAATGGTACACAAGTTTGGTGAGTGGCTCACAGAGCTGGTCCCAGTCCTTGGACAGGAGAATGTTGTGGGTTATTAAGACAAGGAGAAGTGAAGCTTTGTGTGCTGTTAGGTAGTGAAGGAGCTGACTGAAAAGAGAGACTGTTACAGGGCTTGTGCATTGTGGTGTGTCAGGATTTTCAGAGGAGTGTGAGAATAGAAGAAAAAAAAGTAAAGGCACTGAAGGAATGAGCTCTCAGGTTGAGCAGCTCATTCAAAGCAGCAGAAACTCTCGGTGACAGAAGGAAGGCACATCAGGAGAACAAATATTTTAAAACATTTTTTTTAATAACAAGGATGTTAGTTTAGATTTGAAAAATCTAACATGAATTTTGAAGGTTCAAAGTTCTGAACACAGTAATACTGTGAATAAGCAAAGAAAACAACACTGCATTTGGATTTTTTAATTCCTGTCACTGAGAACCCACTCATGAGTGACACAGAAATATTTGTTCAGCATACCTGAGGTGGTTCATCTGTGTCAGTATGGACTAAAGAAACCTCATGGACTTTTCATCAATCACCACAACAAGGGCCAGTGATTTAGGACAGTTTGCTGTGAGAAGTGAGCTAACAAGACCTATAGAAGTTCATTAAATTAAGATAAGTATGGCTAAAATTCTGGACAAAGGGTAATTACAAGAAATTTCCTGAAACTCAGCTATTAACCCAGCAATTATTTGGAGATTATAATCTACAAGTAAGATGCCAGGCCCAATTAATTATGGGCATTTGTCAAACTATTCAAAAATTATGGGTGAAAGTAATTGCTGCAGAACTGCTCATTAGTATTTGTAAAATTATGACCATATAAACTGGAAGAAAAAGCTCTTTGAAGTGATTTCAGATAAGGGAAGCTATTGAAAAAAATTGTTTAAAGATATTGCAGCATGGTCTTGGTTCAGAGGATTTCTCAGGGAATGCAGAGTGCAAATCAATATACAGATTCAAGTTTGAGAAGGAGCCCTAATCCTTTACATATCTCATGTTCATTCTTAGTAC